AGGAGAGGCCCCCACGGGAGGAGTAGGAGCCTCCGGCGGCGGGCCCTGGCGTTACCTCCCGGGGTCTGGTGCGGCCGAGCTTGGGAGACGTGGGCCTGCCCGCTGTTGTTGCTGCGCTTGTGGCGTTTTCCGGGCCTTTTTCCCTAGGTCTGATAAGAAACCCCTGCCACTGCCGAGTCCCCAGGGGACGGCCCGGGTCCGAGTGCGGTTACACTCGCGTTTCCCATCGCAGCACTAAAGCCACCCGCGTACATGAAGTGCGCTGCCACTGCCGCCTGCCAGGCTGCTGAGGAGGTGTCTGCGTCTGGGAGAGATGTGGATAAGAGCAAGGATTGGGAGTGTGAGGAGGAAGGTTGTTACTCTGATACCGAAAAAAGTGTCATAGCGTGATTAACATAGAGTGCTGGAAGCAACTGGTATGGGTTTAGTCCAGGTTGTAGAATGCAGGTGTTTTCTAGATCTTAAAATTATTTACTGTGAGCTTCAGTTCTCCTGTAAGCACACATATATATCTGTAAGAATGTTACTTAAATCTGGAATTATACTGCAGAGTTTGTGCACAGTTGAGCTCAGCTGTGAAAGAAAATATTGTACTTCTCTAATTACATGATATTAAATACTGTGATAACGGCTTTAATGAAAACAAAACAGACTTTTTTTTTCCTTTCTATTAGGTGCAGACATTGCTTCAGCAAATGCAGGACAAATTTCAAACCATGTCTGACCAAATAATTGGAAGAAATATCCTTTTTCAAAGTTAGGTACTATATGCTACAGACACACAGATACTTTTGTGTGTATTTACCAGTGAGATTTGGAAGATACTTTTAAAGTGACTGTAAGTGTTTGAACAAAGCCGTAATAAAACAATAACAAAAAAAAATCCCAAAAAACAACCCAACCACTACTACATTAGAATCATAGTCCTTAACTTCAGTGAACTTGATGACATGAGCTGTCGCATAGATGACCTGGAGAAGAACATAGCGGACCTTATGACGCAAGCAGGAGTGGAAGAATTAGAAGGCGAGAACAAGACTGCTGCTACTAACAAGAGTTAAAGTGAGATGATTGCTTGCTAACCTTGAAACAAATCTTCAAGTCACTTGAAATTAGTGACTTTAAAGTAGATGGAATTTTTTTTGAGATGCAATTGCTGTGCTTGTCCTCTGGTACACATTTGCCCTGCTAATCTTGGTAAGATCTGCAGTAGTGAGTGGCATTGCGGCATGGGAAGAAGGGATGGGAAAAAATATCAGTAACAAAATCACCTGTTCTTTTAGTTGCTGTCATCATATTTGAGCTTTCTGAAAAGGACCATAGTCTCATACACGTTACCAACATCTGCTCTGGCTTCTGTAGCTGGAAAGCTAGCATGAGCCTGGTGCTACTCTTGCATCTTCCACTACATGCTGTAGACTTCAGCTCCCACTAAGCTCCTAGAGACTGCAGACTTGCTGCTGTTCACAGGGGCTGATATGTGAGTTACTGTTTACCAGCTGCATATTCCTCCTGTGTAAGTTAGAAGCCTGCTGAGAGTGCATGACTCACACACCACTGCAAAGTAACAGGTCCTGGCTCAGCCAACATAAGGCAACACTCGGACATGAGGCAAGGTGTTCTAGGGCAATGCGCCTTGGAAAAAGAAATTTCATATTGAAAGGCAAATGTGATATTATATATTCTTCTTGTGTAATTTTGTAATTGACAACCTGCCACTATATTACACAGAGACATTGGAGAGGTAGATGTTTCATCTACTCGGTATGCAGCAGTTCAAGATCTAGTACAAAAACATCTAAATCAGGTGATCAGGTAGTGCCACACACAGCACTTAAAATTGCTAAAGGCATTTCAGAAGATGGGGGCAATGCGAGAGTGACAACCTGTTATAGCATAAAACAAGGTGGGTGTGTGGAGCTTATTTATAGTATGTGAGCGCTAAGATTTCACTAGAGCTTGATTTTTGTAATCCATGGAAAGCAACTGGTTAAGTACTAGATGTATCGTGTTAGATTAACTTTTAAGTGGCTAAGACAGACATGTCTTAGGCTTGAAATTCTGAGGTCATGTCTAGAATACCATGTAGCCTATGTAATAGGTGCATGTGTTTGAAAGAGGTATACATCGGGTTTGTTAAGGTACCTATTTCTTGTTATACTATGACAGAAATGCAAATTATGGGTTTCATTGCCCCCAGTGCCAGTTCCCTTAGCCTGAACCCCCAAAATGAAAATTTCTGGTGGGCATGATTCTCTTAATTCTTCTCAGTAACATGTTTTTTTCCCCCCTAACAGGTTGCCAGTAACTTAAGATGAATCCTGGAAGACTTCCCCCCTCCCCCCCCCCCACAAATCCTTGGAATTACAAAACAGCTTTTTGCAACTACAGTGTGTAAAAGCATTTTTATATTGTTACAGAGCTTGCATTCCTAATGTATATTGTATAGTTAGGGATAGGTTAGTTTATATTTTGATTTGCATACTGTAATTTCACTTTTTGAATTCTAGTTATGAGTATCAAACAGTTGTGTTATTAAAACAGATCTTATGAATCTCAACTACTGGGTGTATTTTTTTGTGAAGTAACTTTTTTCCCTTTCTTGTAATTTTTCTAGATGTTTCATTTTTGCTGGCTCAATATCTGGTGACTCCCATTAAATGTAAACCTTAACTTGTCCTATGTAACTTTGTGGAGTAAAACACAAGATTGAAACTTAGTATTACTTAGCTCTAATCTTCATTTGCTCAACTATGTTAGGACTATGTGTTCTTTCTCATAAATGTAATAAGGTGATTTTTGAAATGTTAGACACCAAATATCAAAATGAAACGTGAAACAGAAATATAGATTTAACATTAGATACATCTGTGCACAGTTGAGCAACCACTGCCATTCAAATCTGTTAAATTTAGACAGGGAACTATTAACTATGAAAAATCTTACTATGGGATGTAAGTTTTTTAGCACTGTAAAACTCTGCATTTAATCTGACAATGTGTCATTTTGCATCACCTTTGAACAATAATAATTAAAACAAGGATACTGGACACAGTAGGGATGGGATTGTGGGAGCGGCTGTTCTCAGTTTAAAGCACTGTCTTGTTGTACAAAACAGTTTGCTAATAAAGCAATGATGTATTGAGTAACAAAAAAAAGGAGATAATCCAGTTAGGATTGCAAAGCCTTGCTGTTCTGAATAACAACGAGGCGCAGCGGTACAAAATATTTGGTTTAGAAGGTGTTTGCTTTTATATCCACATTTATGGGCCTGGAGTTTAATGTATTAGAGTATTTGGTATGTTTTGGCAATGAAAAGTGTATTTAGAAGAGTGTGTGCTGTGTTGCTTGTGAAGAAAAATGACCAATGTCAGATATTACTGACAATCATTGCTACACTCCTTCAGCTTGAAATACAAATACAACAAAGTGCTAGTGGCAGTAAGCAGTTATATGTGGACCACACTTAAGACTGCTCTTGAATGCCACCAAATTCGCACCTGTGTATTATGGAGGCAATACGACAGGTCATTTTTCAAAACTGAGGGGAAATTGTAGTAAAAGCTCATAATCACAGGGAAATTTTGTGACATGGGCAATGTATCGATATACCTTGTAATACCAGCCTTAGGCTCTTTGTAATGTCATTTAAAAATGTAATAAACTATTACGTGGTAACAAATAGTCAGGTCATATATTTAAGCAAAATCTAGCATAAGTATATCATTATATGTGAGACTGTATTCAGTTACAAGTTATGGAAAGACTTCAGCACAGCCTTTGCTTATAGAATACAGTCTAGACTATAGGTCTGCACTGTATAATAAAATAGTGACCACAATTCATACCCTGTCAAATCTGGATTTTACTAGGTAATGAAAATATAGGCCAAATTCAGAGGAAAGTATATTAAAGTGAAGGATCATTTTGTATGACATTTATATAGCTATAAATTCTTTTCTGGCCTTCTTCATCCTATGGGAGAAATGGTCATTCTTGAATTTGCATGCAGCACTGTAAGCCTGCTTTCCTGAGGTTTACTTTGTCAGAATAACTTACTGGAAAATTATTTCAACACTTTTCACCAGGGATAGTTTTCCCTTATAAATTTAACACTTAGCTGTTTGAAAAGTAACAATTCAATTCAAAACAAGCCTTTCAGACACGAAGGTATTACTTGTAGCTCTTTAAATACTGCATCCTTTTGATAAACATTTTTTTATTCTTACTCTGAACCACTGACAGAGCTTCTACACATACGCAAGCCAGAGTAGAATCCCTTTTGGCCACAATTTCTCAAAGTGCAGTTAATTACACAAAGCAAAGCAGATGATTGTTCTTAAGTGTTACTTTATAAGTATTTGATAACACTTTACAAAATAATAGTGTCCTTGGGTTTTTTTTCTGAATATGTTCTATTAATATTTTATCATATCTTGTATTTATTTATATTTGTCCTTTCCACTGGGCTGCCTCACTTGCCAAGAAAAAAAACAGTCTGAGGATCAAGCTCTTCTGTAAGTGAGCCTGAGGTATGAAATTACACAGAACAAGTCGAGTCTGTGGGTCCTGCACTTAGGAGGAAAAGGAGGAACAGCTATGGATTCTGTGATGCCAGCCAATCAGTGCGCCCGCTGCGGCGACAAAGGCGGTGCTGCGGCCTGGCCTTAGTGGCAGGGTTTCTCCGACTGTCGCATAGAGGTGAGAGGCGGAATGAGCCGCCTGGGCTTGTGTCTCAGTCCGCGGCCCCTCTTGCGTGGGCTTTGGGCGGTGCCGCGGAGGCTGCGTCGCGTCTCGGTGGCGGCCGGACTGCGCCGGGGCCCG